ACCCATTCAAGCTGTCTCCAACCATTACTTGTCATTATGTTGTGCTTGTTAAATAAAACTGTGAATGAATAATATTATGTAAAACTATCACTGTATAGTTGTGATTATTCTTATTCGAATCTTAATAATACCCAACAGATAAGCAGATTTATTCGGGTTTTGTCGTATTCGAATTTGTGCTTTTTTCATACTCTAAGCCAATTATTTAATACTGAAGTCACCAGGAACTTGGATTCCACAGAGTCGTAGCGAGGTTTTAACTTAGTGGGATGCTGTTGACTGGCTGTCTTCCCTTCAGTTTATTATTTTAAAAGTAGGCCTGGCTAGCAGTAGCACAGATAGCCCTCGATTATTTCTGCAAGACATTCGATACAACAACAATTTATGACATAAAAAAAGCCAAGGAAAATGGGTGACTTTATTCAAGAAACCGGTTTATATTATCAATACCCTTTTTATCTATTAGACAAAGCATACACATAATGAATTTAAAGTAGATATTGTAGTCTTCAAGAAAATATCGATGGTCTGAAGAGCCACAGATTCATGAAAAGTACACTTCATTGGTATTCTTCCAGCGCCACCTTTTGATAAGAATACGAAACAATAATATATTCACATTATTAACTATAAAAGTAATGAGCCAAAAAAAGAAACTTACGTCGATCCATACACGTGATGACAAAATATATTTCTTTACACTTTTTTATTGAACTATTACAACGGATTAAAAACTTCAAACATTCTATTTTCAGGTTCAAGTTGTCTGTGTGTGTGAGAAGATAGAACTTTAATGTGGTAAACTTAATCAAACGTGTTGTTATTCTAGTAATTGTTATACTTAGAAAAAAGGAAAGGCAAGCAACTAATAAAGTAGGCTTACAAGATTTTCGTGACATCAAAAATATAAAATCTGTGTTCAAGACGAATAAAAAACTTCATGGTGTGACGTACCAGGTGGTGAAGAATATCCTATTCCTATACATGCACACACACACACACATGTATATGATAAATGATATTTAAATGAAAAAAAACAAGCCCCCCCCCCAAATTAAATTAAATTAAAGGCTTTACTTTTTTTTCTTGACTACGCATTGGTTAGGGTAGAAATTTTTAAAAATGCTTATTTCACTGTTTGTGTAGAAATAGTAATTTCAATATTATGCAGACTTTCAATGTTATTTAAGTTTAATTGTTGTGTATTTTATACGAGTATGAGACTTACACACAAATATGCACACATATGAAGCACATACTTAGTTAATCTGTGCTCAACATCTCTTCCTATTTTGTGATTATTATCAGCATTTGTTATAAAGAAGTAGTGAAACAAGAGAAATGATGTTTTTTTTATATAAACCAAAAGCTGTGTTTCAAAAATAAATCATAATAATGGTGAAGCATTTAGATGAGTTTTAAATATCGTTACTAACGATACTCAGTCGAAAGGGAAAGAATATACGAGTGATCGTTAACTTTAGTATCAATAATAGTTCGAGCAGGTTGCTTGTTGTTAAATAGAATAAAAAATCGTGGCAGGTATTTAGTTTTTAAAGGAAAGATCTTACACTTTCCTAAACTGGGGTGTTCAGGGGTATTATTATTATCCCCCTTTGCCCCGCTCGCGTATAGGTAGAAATTTGATAAGGTCGTGGGGTTAAAAGTCATTTTATAGATAGTTGGTATTTACTGGCAGAAAGACTTGGCAGATGTCCGGTGGATCGTGAGGCAGAGAGAAGACCAAGGCTGGTGACGACGTTGACGAGAAGAAGCAAGACGACAGTGTTCGGCAAAGTATATCTCAATGAACGCCCTGTTAACAGAAACACCTAGTGGCTGGGATCCGTAAATCCAATGCCATGGCTGGGATCAGAAAATCCAAAGAGCTTGTTGTTAAGCGCAGAGCAACACAATGGACTATTTGTGCTGTAACAACCACGGGTATCTAAACACGAATTTTAACGTTATAAAGTCTTACCGCTGAACCTGGAGGCTGGTGTGAGTAGGACTAAAATTCTTTATTAAATTATTGTCTTTTTTATTGTGTGATATATATTTCTTAATAATTACGACATGAAACACGAAAGTGTATTTTTTATTTAAGAAACAAACAAACAAACCAGATATATATAAATATGTAGGGTATGGAACACTGTAATATTTTTCTGATAATTATATACAGGCTTCTCAGAAGTCACTGTTTTCTGCGTGTGGGAAATATATCAAAATTTAAAGTTTATTTTCGAATATTTAACATGAAATATTTCAGAAAAAAACCTAGTGTGGGTTTCGATTGGACGAAATTACATTTACTGAACCACTCACCGTTTCATACACAACCGTCGAGTGCCAAGCTGTTCACAGAAAAGACCTTTACAGCAAGGACGGCGAATCAGAAAACCATAACGGAAACCATTTTCACCACAGTCGGTATATTCAGCCGCACAAAACTTCTAAATGAAAGACAAGTTCCACTGTAAATACTATTCTTCCAATCTGTAGCATGTAATTACGTAACAAGAAAAAAAAAAAAAGGCTGTTTTATTATTATTTATCTGCAGGGGTGGACGGGCCTGGGGACAAATTTTTCTACCGGGCCTATTATGATTGCGACTGAAGACTGAGGTAAAAAAAACTAAACCTCATAACGGGCCTTTTTAGAGCCCTGGCCTGGGGCTATAGCCCCATCCTAATTCACCCATGCTTATCTGTTGCGTCGTCAGGGGTTCTTTTCTGCTTGTTTGTAGTTAAGCACAAAGCTACACAAAGGGCTATCTGTGCTCTGCCCACCACGGGTATCGAAACCCGGTTTCTAGCGTTGTTAGTCCGCAGTCATACCGCCGTGGCACTGGGGGGCTCTTTTCTGCTCATGGTGCATCTTTCTTAGATATATATCTGTTCATGTGTATACGTAAAATTGCACGTGCTATGACGAAAATTTGATGATGAACAAATAATGTGAAATTAAT